CTAACCATCTCAGAGGTGGGTTTGGTTGTTTTTTTTTTAGACTTCTTTTCTAGAAAACTTTAATGTGCCTTAAAGATTTTTGGTATCTACTGAAAGGTTTCAGGGTTGAGACATTTGAGATGTTATGTGTCTGAAGTTTTCTAGCCCCTGAGGTCAGAATATGACATCGCAGTAAAGAGCTTCAAGAGTTTCATCTTTGGATTTAAGTTGTATATCATAGGAATTGAGCTATCTATACAACCTGCATTCGCTTTAATTTTGCTGTAGCCTCACCTTACTGTATTGTGTGTAAATCAAGATTCTCGGGTTTCAATCTGAACGCATTTAAATAAAACTGGAAAATCTTCAGTGCTTATATTTTTATTCACCAATATGTATGTGTATAAATAATACAGTAGATATTAACATACACATATAGCATCACGTGAACATTGCAATATTATGCAAGAAATCATGTAATCTAAGGAGGACTCTGCATATAGCAACATATGTGTCCTTTCTCCCATCTATATTACATGGGGGCTGTGCTCATATTTTCCATTTCAGTTTAATTCCGTTTAATCATTGTATATTAAGGACTTACGCTTTGTGCCAGAAATCATTCATTCATGCAACAGACATTAACTGACAGCCTGTAACCTACCAGTTTTAAGTGGTGAGAATTTAAAAAAAGATGAAAAGCCATACCCTCCCCAGTTTATATTCTAGAGTGTGGTCAAACAATAAACAAAACAATAAGACAACTACATAGTATGTTAGATACTGATAAGTGTTTAAAAGAAAAGTAATGGAAGTGAAGGTGTTATAAGTGTTGGTTAGAGGTGGAAGTTGTCATTTTAGACAGGGCAGCCAGAGCCAGCCTTCCTAAGAAGCTGTCTTGTGAGTAAAAGCTGAAGGATGTATAAGGGACCAAGTCATGAGGACATGGGTGGGGGGCAGGGGAGAGCAGAGGAGAATCATTCCAGGTGAGAAGTGCAAAGGATTTGAAGCAGAGAGAGAGAATTTGAGAAACTGCAAGGTGGCCAGTGTGGCTAAAGTGGAGTGAAAAAGAGGGACAATAGTTGGAGACAATTTCAGAGAGTAAGACGCCTGTTCTGCAGGGATGGGCTAGATCACGCAGGGTCTATCTGGTAAGATTGGCGCTATACTTGGAGTAAGTTGGAGAGTTGCAGTGGATGTTGTGGATGCTCTGCCTAGATCCCCTTAACTGGACCAGTGCATTTACTCTCAGCCGCTGTTACACACACTCTCATCGTAGGCAGCTCACGACGACTGACTGCCATAGTGGTATGTGCAACAGGTGAGGCCGAGTCTGGGAAACTCATGCTCCAGAGCTCCCCTGGGGCTCAGGCCGAGGCTGGTTTCCAGCAGACATTACATCCTTGCTTAGTTTTTCTCCATCCTATCCAGTTTCCTCCTCCTATTCTCCTAAGAGCACCCCTTCGGTAAAGCTCTTACAAGCAACAGAAGCCAACTCAGAACGGACCAAACAACAGGGAGATGGTTCTTACTATGTAACTAGCTAACCAGAGGTCGGGCAGCCCCAGCGTGGGCTTATTCTCTGGCTCACTCGCCAAGAGCCAGGCTGCTTCTATTATCCTGCTCTGCTATCAAGAATGTTTGGTCCTGCCTTAGCCAGTTTGGATCTGTGGTTAGAGCGTCAGCCTGCAGACTGAAGGGCCCCGGGTTCGATTCTGACCAAGGGCAGGTACCTCGGTTGCAGGCTTGATTCCCAGCCCTGGCTGGGGCATGTGCAGGAGGCAACCAATCGATGTGTCTCTGTCACATCGATGTTTCTCTCTCTGTCTCCCTTCCACTCTCTCTGAAAAGCAAGGGAAAAAATATCCTCAGGCAAGGATTAAAAAAAAAAAGCTTGGTCCTTATTCTTGGCCTTCCTCATAATTACATGATGAATCACCACAATTCTAGGTATTTTACTGAGCCACAATAATGTCCAGCAGAAATCTTTCAAAGAGAAGAATTTCCTCATCTTAAAAAAATAATAATTTAAATACATTTTTTTCTTTTTAACGTTTCATTGTGGAAAATTTCAAACAAAAGTAGAGAGAACAGCATTAGGAATCTTCATGTGGCCTACATGCAGATTTACTAATGATCTCAACTTTTGGCAAATCTGGTATTCACAGTCCCACTCATTTATCTTCTTCCACCACCACTGACTATATATAAAAAACAACAATAACAATTTTCTACTATTACTAATTAGTCAGTGATCAAATTTCAATTGCCTCATAAGGGTTCCCCCCCATTTCAGTTTGGTTTTTTAATCAGAATACAATTAAAGTCCCCAAATTGCAATTGGTCATTATAGTCTTAAGTCCCCTTTTCTATAGGTTGCCCCTCCATCTCCCTTTTGCAATTTAGTTTTTGAATAAACTGGGTCATCTGATCCATAGAATTTTTCACAGTCTGGGTTTTGGTTATTACAACATATATTTTTTGTTTTAACATGTTCCTGTACCCTGTACTATGTATAAGTTGATACAGTATTTAGAAGAGGTTTAATCAGAGTTAGGTTTATGTTTGTGTGTGTGTGTGTGTGTGTTTTAAAAAAGTCCTCACCGGAGGATATTTTCTTCCATTGCTTATTACAGAGAGTGGAAGGGAAAGAGAGAGAAACATCAATCTGAGGGAGACACATCGATTTGTTTCCTCCTGCAAGTACCCTGACCAGGGCTGGGAATTGAACCTGCAACCGAGGTATGTGCCCTTGGCTGGAATCAAACCCTGGGCCCTTCAGTCCGAGGGCTAATGCTCTAGCCATTGAGCCAAACTGGCTAGGGCACTGTTTTTTCAAAAATATATTTTTATTGATTTCTGAGAGAGGAAGGGAGAGGGATAGAGAGATTGAAACATCAATGAGAGAGAAACATCATCGATCGACTGCCTCCTGCACGCACCCTGCTGGGGATGGAGCCCAAAACCCAGGCATGTGCCCTGACCAGGAATTGAACCAGTGATCTCTTGGTCCATGGGTCGATGCTAACCACTGAGGCACAGCACGGGGCAGGTTTAATGGTTTAGCAGGAATACTTTATAGATGGTGTCCTTACTTCCAACAGGAGATTAACATGTCTGTGTTTTCTCACTCTTTGTGATGTTAGAAGTTATTTACCCATTATTTCATTAGAAGTTGTAAAATTGTGACACTGTAATTTTATCATTATTTATGTATTAGCAGGACTACTTCTTTAAAGAGAAACTTCTTTCACCAACTGTTTGTTTACAGTGAGGTGCAGTTCATACAGAAAAGATAGAATAAATACTTGGATCTTTCTTTTTATTTCCAGTTTTCAAAACAATAAGGTAGTTCTCCAGCATTCTCCATAAGCGACCAATACATTCTTTTATAGCATCATTATAAACTCAGTATTTAAACATAATTTATGAGCTTCAATCAATTGCAGTTATTATCCTTATTAATGCTCAAAGTTTCCATCATTGACACGTGGGAGATTCTTCAAGTGGGCTTCTGAATCCTTTCGACTTAACCCTTGTAGTCCTGGACATCACCCTCGATTTCTGGTATAAGATGTAAGTATCCTACCCCAGACCTGAAGCCAGCTATTTCTTTAAGGAGCCCTGCTTCCCTTTGATATGATTGTAGTATTTAAGGGTCAAAGTATTTAAACTACAATCAGGATGATTAAGAGGTGGCTATTGCTGCTCCTGGGTTGGCTATCACACCTAGGCCTTTAGTAGATAGAGCTAAGAAGTTTTTTGTTTTCTTTTTTTTAAGATAAAATACATCAAGAATTTATAATGGTACTTCCAGTTCAAAGTTAGGATCATGGGGTTTTTATTTAATCCGATCAGCCTTCTATTCTACTCCGAAAATTTGCATCTCAAAGACACCAATATATTTACTCAAGTAATTTATCCCACAACACTCAAATTTCAGTCTGGAAATAACAGATGTTTTCATTAAAATTACTAAGAAACACTTCAGAATTTATTTTTGGAGTACTTTTTATCTTTGGTGTATATACAGTGATATACACCAAGTCACACGCAACAGTTCCTCTCTGTGCAGTTTTGCTGTAACTCAAATCACAGTTTCATATTGTTTTTGAGGGATTACCTTTTAAGACTATTTTAAATTTCTTAATAATGATGTAAACTCTTTACTTGGTTCTAAAATCAAATCTATAAAACAAGATATATGCAGAGAAGTCTACCTTTTCTCTTCATTCCTTCCATCTGGTTCCTACGTCTTTGTGGTTTTTCTCTCCCATATTTTGGTATACAGTATGTACGTACATATTTGTTACCTTTCCTTGTTAGATGAATAGTAGTATACTGTACATATAGTTACCCACCTTGTTTTTTTTATTTTTATTTAATTATGAACCTGAAGATGACTCTATTGTAGGCATAGAGATAGTCCTCATTATTTTTCATAGTTGCATAGAACTCCATGTATGGGTACCATGGTTCAACCAATCAGTCTCCTACTGGTGAACATTTGAGTTGTTTCTAGTATTTGCTATTACAAATGTTACTGCAATGAGTAGCTTCATATAAATGGATTTTTTGTTTATTTTTGCATTTTTGCCATTGGGTTAGATTTCTAAAAGAGGGATTGCTAGGTCAAATACATGTGTAACTTTGCTCTTGCAACATAAGAACCATACCACTTTGCACTCCCAAAATAGCAATGTATGTGAGTGCCTGTTTTCTGTCAGAGTGTATTGTCAAGCATTTGGATTTTTGCTCATGTAATAGGTGAAAAATGATATTTTAGTGTAGTCTTAATTCGCATTTCCTTTATTAAGAGTGAGGTTGATTATTTTTCCATTTGGTTAAGGTCCATATACATTTCTTTCTCTGCAAATCATCTGTTCACATCTCTAGTGAATTTTTTGGTGTTGTCAGTACTTTCCTATTCTATTTTTTCAGAAGCTCTTTATGTACCAGAGATGGTAACTTTTGTCTATCATATCAATTATAAATATTTTTCCAATTTGTCATTCATCTTATTTATGTATTTTTTAGTGCAAGAGGTTTTTAATTTTTAGGCAATAAAATTCTGTGTTGTTTCTGAATTTTGAGCCATTGTTAGTGTAGTGAATTGGGGGAGAAAATAGCCACAAATTCTTCCCTTGTATGCACAGTCTTGTGAAGTGTGACTTTATATTTTTTCCCATCAAGAGATGCAGATTGTTTTTCCATCCCCCTGAATTTGGCTTGCCTTTACTCTGATCTGCGAGAATGCTGTGAAAGTGACTTTGTGAGGGTACATGTGAGGGTTCTCGTACTCTGGAGCCCTGAGACCACCGTGTGAAGAAGCCTGGGCCAGCCTCCGTGAGAATGGGGGACCATGTGGAGAGAGGAGCCCCACCTGCACCTGGCACTGACCCTGGGGACATGAGTGAGGCGTCCTAGGCCCTCCAGCTCCCGCCTCGATGCCGGCCGACTGCAGCTGCCTGAGTGAGCCCAGGCAAGAGCAAGTAAGGACCACCCAGCTGACCGCAGACCAAACTGCAGGTCCACATAACTGAGCAAATACGATGGCTGCGTATGAAGCCACGAAAATGAGGCAGTTCAAGCAGCGATATGTCGTTAAGATAGTCAGGAAATAAAACTTAACTTGGAATTTGGTGCAGACTTGATTTGTGCTGTTGCATTTCACATTCCTCTAGGGATGAAGAAAGAACAAGCTGTGCCCAGTGGATCCGGAATTCGTTTGGCTCAACCTCCGGGCCAATTGTTGCCATTTCTGAAGACTTTTTTAGAACTACTAAATGCCAAATGTGACTGCATACCGAAGGTGGTTTTTCCCCCTGTTTAAAATGCAATATTTATTGAAAACAATCCTTTGAAGCAGCAGCTATCAAGTCCAAAAGCAACGTATATTTTATTAACCTTTTTCGACTTTAACAAGAAATGTAATGCAAGTTTAACAACAGTGTTCCACTGGCAGCACTTTTATTATCAGACCATTGACTGATTTTAATTAAAAAAAAAAAAACATGTCAAAAAAGTCAAAGTAGGATAGAGGGTTGGGCCCAGGATGTGAAACCCATTGTAAAACCTAAAAACTGGCAGCAGAATCAGATAACCATGTTACTTCTCTTGATGAGGACAGGGATATAAAGGAAGACTAGGTTTAGAAAAACTCAACACATATTCTTTGGGACGACAACATTTAAATATTATTTTAAATTTAAAATTAAATCAAAATATCACTTCAAATTTAAACTATTTTAATTGTTGAAAGAAATATATGCCACAGTCGTGAACAATGGATCTGAGGTAACTACTCTGTCCATTTTTTAAAAAATCTAAATTTTCTATTACAAAGGACAGTGCATTTTAAGCCTGCTTTTGAGAGTTGCAGCCGGATTCAGTAAAGATTAGTTTCTGAATGTGTTATAATTTCTGTGCCAACTATTTGTCCTGTCAGATAGCATCTGTTGACCAGAAGC